CTTAGAGGAAGGGGCACTGACAGACAAGACAGAGGGAAATCTGAACAACAGAGGCAGAGATTAGAAATGCTGCCGGAAACCAAAGACCTGGAGCCGAGAAGAGCCCGCGAGCATTTTCAAGGCAGGAGGGGCGGGAAAGACTAACAGCACCGGCTGTGGGGTCAGACTGCCCGGCTCCAGATCCCGGCCCCACCGGTGCTTAGCCGGACAGCTGCAAGCATGTAACATAACTGTTCCATTTCTTTCTTTCTTTTTTTTTTAATTTGAGGGCCTTGCTTTTTTTTTTTTAAGATTTTATTTTTATTTTTAGAGAGAGAAAAGGAGATACATCGATGTGATAGCGAAACATCGATCAGCTGCCTCCTACACACCCCCTACTAGGCATCGAGTCTGAAACCTGGGCGTGTGCCCTGACCAGGAATCGAACCAGCGACCTTTCAGTGCACGGGACGATGCCCCACCCGCTGAGCCACACTGGCCAGGGCACTGTTCCATTTTTTAACCTGTCCACCGGGGTCACCGTTGTCCTGTTTTAGGCCTTGGGAGTCATATCATCTCTGGCAATTACTCAAACCTGCGTGTAGCGCAGAAGCGGCGCTAGGTAAGGTGTAAGCCCACGGCCTGGGCCCGGTATGTTCCAATCGGACGTGAGTGACATAAACCCGAGGGAGGGGGCGGGCAGGGGGCTGGGTGGGCCCTGGCACTGTAGTCTGTGCCCCTCTGGTTTTGAGAAATTAGGAAGCAAGCCGGGCAGGGGTTCCAGGTGAAATGGAGATTACAGGCCAGCAGCCATTTGTCCTTCGAAAGATGAGGCGAGTTTTTCTTAAATTCCAATGTATTTATCCCTGTTTAATGTTATCCTGCCTTCATAGCTTTAATGGTGCACAAATGTGCTCTTACATAAAATAACGATGCGTGTGTATGTCTCTTACATGTCCTAACTGGGCAGGGTGATAAATTGCAGCCCTGTGTCCGTCTCCACTATTTCTTATTTTTAACCACTACGTAAAATTCAGAAGCCTGATGACCACAGCTCCAGACTCTAGCTGGGCTCCGAGAGACCGTCGTCACGGGTGAATGGGCTTCTCCTCAACTCCTGTCCCTGCCTTTCACTCCCGGCTGCTTTGGTGACAGGGGACAGGCTCGCTGCCCCAGGGCCTGGCAAACTCAATGTTTGCGTTGGGGCCAGCCAGGTGACACGAACGAGTGAGCAGGCTCAGGGCATGTGTCCTGTCTGGTTACGACAGCCTGACAGTTGTCTCCGTGTGACAACATGGCCCAGTCTCCTGGTTTAAACGTTTTTTAGATTCGTAAAACACCACCGCCCTTGCGATGACAGACAGAAGCATTCTGCAGCCTGAGAGTGGCTCCTGGCCGCCGCTTTTAGTCTCTTAATCCAAATCCCAATTGCGGGCAATGATCCCCAGCCGCCCACACGAGGCTGTTGCCCACGGCCGAGTTTCAGAGCGTCCAGGAGCCCTTCCTTGCCTGAGGAGGGTGGCCAGAGGCTCTGCTGGCAGCCTGAGCTTTCCAGGGTCTGCCCAGGTCAGGGCCTGGGCACAGGAGGGTTTCTGGAGAGCTCCAGGGGGTCCTTCTAAAACACACTCTGGACCTAGCCAGTTGGGCTGTNGGTCAGGGCCTGGGCACAGGAGGGTTTCTGGAGAGCTCCAGGGGGTCCTTCTATAAAACACACTCTGGACCTAGCCAGTTGGGCTGTGGGCCGAAGGGTCCCCGGCTCTATTCCGGCCAAGGGCATGTACCCCGGTTGCGGGCTCGATCCCTGGCCCTGGTGGTTGGGGCACATGCAGGAAGCAGCCAATCGATGTGTCTCTCTCACATCGATCTCTCACATCGATGTTTCTCTCTCTCTCTTTCTCCTTCCACTCTCTCTAAAAAGTAATGGAAAATACCCTCAGGTGAAGATAATAAATAAAAAAATAAGTAAGTAAATAAATAAAAATAAAACCCACTGCCTGGAGGGGCCTTGTTCTGAGGCACCGGGTGAGGCTTGGGTCTCCCCGCCTCGCCCTGCTCCTGGGACTGGGTGGGATGGTGTGGTGTCTGGGGTCGGTCTCGGACAGGTCATTTGATGGCTCAGTTTTGTCATCTGTAAAAGGAGGGTAATTACAGCGGGCCCCCCGTTGGATGGGCATGAGGATTAACTAGGCCAGTGCGTGTAGAGCCCCAAGAGCGGCGGCCGGCACACGGAGGCCACGGAAGGCTTGGATTCTGTGCGCTGATCTTAACTCGGACCTGGAGGAGATGGAGGTCGGAGAGCAACCTCCCCCCTGCCATGCCCACCCCTGGTCTAGAGTAAGACCCTACAGGAGAGGAGAGGGCACCCCAGAGTCAGGTCACTCCGCTCCTGAGTCTGCAGCCAGCCTTGAGCATGTCTTTGGGGCGCCCTGGCAGCGATGCGCGGCCCCTCTGCAGGCCCCACTGACTCCCCTCCTTTCCCGGCCCTTGGTGGGCGGTGGAACCCGTCAGGCCGGCGTATGTCATCGTGGAAGCGCCATCGAGCGTGTTCCAGAGTCTCCCACCCGGGGTGGGCTCGTGAGCAGCATTTTCCAAACAAGCCTGTCTCTTCTAGCCACAGAGAAACGGGAGGTGACATTTCCTAAAAGCGTCACTTTGTTAAAATGCCAAACCTAATCTCAAGGCACAAAGAACCTTGTCGAAATCAGGACTGACCAGAGGAGTCGGGCGGGCTCTGTAGCTGGTGTTTTGTTGGGGTTGTTTTCCAGTTAATACAGCTCCTTGCTTGAAGGAGGACTTTCCCAGCGTTTCTCTAGGTGACAATGACCTCTTACGGCTTCGGAGACAGCAAATATGATCCTGGCTTTGGAAACCGCCTGTGCTTCTGGCCGCTTGTTGGTGTCCACATTGTTTATTTGCATAACATCTTTGGCTGGGGGTGGGGTGGGTGTTAAGAGGAGGCAGGTCAAGGGCCAGCTGGGTGGCTCCGATGGTTAGAGCATCTTCCCAGGACACCAAGGTTGCAGGTTCAATCCCCAATCAGGGCACATACAAGAATCAGACAATGATGCATAAATAAGTAGAACAACAAATCAATGTTCCTCTCTCGCTCGCTCTCTCTCTCCCTTCTTCTGTCTCTCTAAAAAAATCAATTAAAAAATATATGCCTTTAAAAAAAAAAAAAAAAGAGGCAGGTCAATTGATTTTCCCAATTGATTTTCCCACTTTTCCATTAAAGAAAACAGTGTCTACAAGGAAATCCCAATATAACGCCGCCCTAAAGCTCTCCTATTCTGTCCAGATGCCTGTGGCTCAGCGGTCGAGCATTGTCTCATGTACCAAGAGGTCACCGTTTCGATTCCCGGGCAGGGCACGTGGCAGGGTTGTGGGCTCGACCCCCAGTAGGGGGCGTGCAGGAGGCAGCCGATCAGTGTTTCTCTCTCATCGATATTTCTATCTCTCCCTTTCCCTCTCTCTCTAAAAAATAATCCATTAAAAAAGGCATATTTTCGCCCTGCTGGGCGTGGCTCAGCGGTTGAGCGTCAACCTAGGATCCAGGCGTTCGGGGTTCGATTCCCAGTCAGGGCACATGCCCCGGTTGTGGGCTCGATCAATGACTCTCTCATCATTGATGTTTCTGTCTCTCTCTCCCCCTCTCCTTTCCTCTCTCTGAAATCAATGAAGATATATTTAAAAAAAAAATTGAATTAAAAAATTTTTTAAAAAAAGGCATATTTTCAAAATAAAATAAGTTAAAAAAAAATGAAATTCTCAAAAGAAGCAAACAGAAGTTGGCTTCTTCAAGAAAAAGAAACAGTAAAAAAAAAAAACTGTAGCCAAGTGGAAGCTGGAGGAGCCTGCAGAACGCCGGTCCCGCTGGGTCCTTGGGTGTGGAAGGCGGGCGCCGGCTCTGGGGCAGGAGGGACCCGTGAGTCTGGTTGCTCGGCGGTGGCACCCACGGGGAGGAGAGCATCGTGGGCTGGCTGTCCCCACGTAAAAGATGGTCCAGGACAGAAGAAAGGAGGAAACCCAGCCATTCCTCCTCCCTCTTCTGTGTCTGAGCCGAAGAAGGAAATCCATGTAAATAAAGACCCAAAGGGTCGTGGCAAGTTTGCTGTGCAGTTGGCAGGGCTGCTCTTTGCAGCACAGAAACCGGCCGGTTGGCATCGTGTACTGTGTGCAAAAGTCACCTCGACTTTCAGGTAACGCTGGCGACGGGTGAGGGTCAGCTTTCGAAACCGGGAAGCACTGGAGAAGAGCATGGAAGGGTTTCCTGAGAGCCGAAAGGAAGCCGGAGGTGAGCAGAGCTCGCCGGCAGGTGTGCTTTATGTCTAAATGGTGCTCTCACACCCCTGAGAAGCTGGGAGCTGGACAAGCCCTCCGAGCTCCCAGTTTCTTGTCCGTAGTTGGCGTAATAATGGTACCCGCCTCAGGAGGTGGTTGTGTGAGTTAGGAGTTAATAGGCGTGTGGCACTCAGAATGGTGTCTGCACTTTGTAAGAAACAGAAGATGTGAGTTCTTTATGCATTTTAATGTCCTGCGTATTTTTTTTTTAAATCTCCGAAGCCTGTAAAATCACGGCAGCCGCTCGACTTTGTATATAGTTCGTATTGTGTATCAGCTGGGCTGTGTAGATTATGCTTGGTAACAAACACTGACACAGCCCCCGTCCGACGGCATCTGCCCCCTCCCGGAGGCCGGGCATTGCCAGGCCTGGGTTAGGGTCTCTAGAGGTCCTAAACCCTAAAGAGATCAAGCTCCCTTTCCAGCGCCCTCCCGAGGGATTGGGAATCAGAAGAGAGCCAGGCCCGGGCGCAGGTCAAGGAAACCCAGTGCATTCCGGTGTCTCCCATCGTGGTCACCCTGAGGCTTTTAGAAAAGCTCCGGTTCCGCCCCAGTCACCTTCTCCCCCGCTTGTTTCCGAGGGGCCGCCCCCGCTCTGCGCGCTGTGAACCCCCCCTCGCCCGCTCTCAGGCGGCCCCTGCTGCGGCCTAAACCTCTCTCGCTCTGCCCGCCTCCTCCAGGCCTCGAGGGGATCCAGTGCTCGCTGCCCCCGGAGAACAGGCGGGTGTCCCTGCGCCAGCTGTCGGAGGCCAGCTTCAGCGAGTGCAAGTTCAGCCTCTCGCTCGCCGACGTGTTCATCATCGTCTTCTCGGGCGTGGCCGTGTCCATCGCCGCCATCATCTCCAGCTTCTTCCTGGCCACCGTGGTGCAGTGTTTCCAGAGGTGCACCCCCAACAAGGACGCCGAGGAAGACGAGGAGGACGACTGAGCCGCCCCTCCCGTTCCCCGCTTTCCAGAACCCAGGCTGGCGCTGAACCACCCCCCCCCAGGACAGAG